CCCGGCCCCGCCATGGCGTGCCCCGTTGCTACGCGACCGCACTGCTGGGGCTGGAGCGGCAGCGCCTCCCGGGCTCGGAAAGAGGAACGATCTGCTCCTTTAGCCCCTTCCTCACAGACCAGCAGCTGGCGGCGCCTTCCCCTCCCGCCCCGCAAAATTAGCGGCTTGTCTGGGGAGGTCTCCCCGCTCTGCGTCCCCCGTAGGCGACGCCAACTTTTGGGAGAGCTCACGGAGAACCCGCCCTTGGTGCCGCCGCGGCGCTCCCGTGTGCTGTGGGGAGTGAGGGGGACAAGGGGTGCGGGGCAGCGCTGGTGTCTCAGTGCCCCGGGATATCTCAGTGCCCCCGGATACCTCCGCGTCCCGGGCTGTCTCCGTGCCCCGGGACACCTCCGTGGCCCGCCCCGGGATCCGCCGGTACCCCGAGCTGTCCCCGCCCCGGAAGGCGCCGGCCGCGCCAATCGGCGGTGCTGTTGCTGGGCGGTGCGGGTGACATTGGGCACAGCCATGGTGGTGGCGGCGCTGGGTCGGACSGCGGGGCGGCTGCTGCGGGCCGGAGCCGCCGTGCCCGGGCGGCGGAGGTGAGCGGGGCGGGCCGGAGCGGGCAGCGGGGAGGGCGGGCCGGCGCTCCGGAGGAGCCCGGAGTGAGGCGGGGCCGCGCTGTGTTGCAGCGCCAGCGGCGGAGTGCACATCCCGCCGCGGTACCGGCAATTCCCGGAGCTGACGCGGGCGCAGGTGATTCGAGGCGAGATCCTCAGCGGCTTGATGTGGTTCTGGATCCTCTGGCACTTCTGGCACAACTCGGACATGGTGCTGGTGAGGCCGGCGCGGCGGCCGGGGGCGAGGGGTGCGGGCCGGGYCCCGGCCGTGCTCTGACGGGCCTCTCTTCCAGGGACATTTCCCGTATCCCGACCCTTCGGCCTGGACGGACGAGGAGCTTGGAATCCCTCCGGACGATGAGGAATAGCAGCACACCGGTACGGCTCCTGTCGCCCCCCTCACACGGCTCTGGCTCGGTTC